GTTGTTGTCACTCTTAGCGAAAGGTCATGACTGGCTAGACAGATTGCCATGTTTATGAGAATTGCAGTTTTACCAAATCTTAAAAGCATTGCACATGATTAGAAGGAAAACGACAAAGTAAAACTTTGTTTACGAGAAAAAGCCTTAGATGGCATTGATGCTTTTGTCCTCTGATCAACAACAACAATGAGTTCTATTATTATCTTGGATTCAATAATAGCAGTAAATTTAGATATATCGTTTCATTTAAACAACAACAACAGTAGTACACAGTAAGTCTCGGTATAGCGGACCTCGGTATAGCGGATGTCTAATAAACTCTCGGTTTAACGGATCAAAGCTCAGAACCGTCTATAAGTAAATTCTCTCGGTTTAACGGATTTACTAATTAAATCTTGAATTATTCTCAGTATAACGGATTTTTGAAATTTTTGTTCTAATTGCCCAAATTATCCGCTATACCGAGACTCACTGTGTATATAACATATAATTTTATCTTTAATTTTTTTTTTCTTTTCTCATATATTATTTTTTTTATCATTTATATTATTTATTTAATTATTACTTGACTTTCATGCGGACATGATGACTTGGTGGATGATCATGACGGTGATGCACAGATCTGGTTGGGGTGCATTACACTTTATACTTTATATTTTGCGTTTTACACTTTTTACACTTCATATTTTCCGTTTTACACTTTACACCTTTTATAAATTATACTTTAAAAATATATTAGTTTAATATTATCCTTATTATTTTTTTTTTGTTACACATTTCATATCTTATATATTTTATTACATATTTTATATATTACCTTAATTTTTTTTTTTGAAAATTTCAATTTCCTTCGGGAAAACTTTTCAGCAATAGTTCATATATATGTATATCTTACGAACAACACTAGGACTTTCTGTAGAGACTTTCTTGGAATTCAAAGTATTGTTCTTAAGGAGTATATGTGAAGGATCGTTGAGAATTATATAACACCACACTATGGATTTAAACTTGCATTACAACTTAGTAAAATATTTGTCAGATTTAATTTTTCCAGAATCATCTACGGATGAAGAGCAAAAGAAAATAAGAAGTCAATCAAGATATTTCATAGTAAGAGAAGGTATCCTATACAAGAAGAATAGGAAGACCCCTCAAAGACCCCTCCGGGTGGTAAATCAAATGAAGTAGAAATAATACTACACAACTTACATGCTGATTCGTTAGCAGGACACTTCGAAATTGAGGCAACCTATCATAGGGTTGCTGAAAGATATTACTGGAACCAAGTGTATAGTGATATAAGGGAGTACGTTCGAACTTGTGATGAATGTCAACGTAGGGGTGGGCCTACTAAACATGAATATATACATCCAATTAAAGTTGAACAACCCTTTGAGAGATTAGGAATGGATATTGTTGGACCTTTGCCTGAGACTAGGAAAGGAAACAAGTATATGGTAGTGGCAACCGAATACTTGACTAAATGGCCAGAAGCTAGGGCGATTCCTGATGCAAAAGCTGCTTCGGTGGTGCAATTCTTCTATGAAGACATAATTAGTCGCCATGGATCCCCTAAAATATTATTAACTGACCAAGTAACACATTTTGTTAATCAAATGTTGGATGAATTATGTAGAGTGATGGGGAATAAAACACAAATTATCATCAGCATATCATCCTCAAACAAATGGTTTAGTAGAAAGATTTAATAGGATGCTTTGCGAAGCACTTGCTAAGTATGCAGCAACCTATAAAGAAGATTGGGATATATATTTACCTTCGGTATTGTTTGCTTATAGAACTATGATACATAGTACCACACGACATGAGCCATTCTATTTGACATATGGAGGAGAAGCAACTTTTCCAGTTGAATTACAAATTCCTACTTATCCTACGGAAATTGGTAGTGAAGAAGAATTATTATTAAAAAGGGTTTACGAACTCATTGGAAATTTACCAGAGAAAAGAGTGAATGAGAGAGAAAATATTTCAAGGTCACAAGAAAAACAGAAAGAGCGGTATGACAAGAAGGTTTTATGTGTCCTTGTTGTTTACAGTTGTAGCATGTTACCGGCGAACGGTTTTCACTATTTTGAATCCTTAGTCTTTGCTGGACATTATTATTTGCTTTCATTAGGTTAACCAGTTGATCAATTAACCCTTGTAGTGGTTGGTTCACCCCTTGATTCATTCCTGGAATGTTAGGCATGAATTGTTCTGCTGAATATGCCGATAAGGTTCCTCCTCTAGAATATGTCATCTCATAAGCCTTGGCTCTGTCAATTGCTTCTTGAATAGTGTCAGGTAAGAATGGACTTACTGCTATGGATAATTCTGGTCGTAACCTTTCCATGAACATCCTTGCTTTGACTCTATCTGGATAATTATTTCCCCCATGTTCAATTCTCCTGAACAATTCGTATATGTGTGCTGCGAAAGCTCCTACTGTCTCTCCAGGTAATTGTCTTCGTTTTTCTAATTCAGCTGCCCAACCTTCTTCCATGGCTCTAGTTCTGTACCTTGTTTGAAAATTCAGAACAAAGCTTGCTGCAATTGTATTAGCATTAGTGTTATCATCCCACCGGTTTATATTTCCTCTAACTTGAGTCCACCATGTAGCAGCTCCTCCTTTTAATCTTGATACTGTTACTGCTAGTCTTCTATCATCTGCTACTCTATTCGTTACAAAGGCTTGTTCCATTTCTTCCAACCATGTGATTGGGTCTTAATCTCCTCCATAGTATTCTGGGTACTTAACATTATTCAATTCAGTCACAGCAGGTTGTGGTGGCACTATTGCATTTACCGCTTGAGTTATTGCAGCTCCCAAGTTTTGTAAAGCTGCTGGATCCATTTGGTTTAGATTTTGTTGTTGGTGATTAGGTTTATTTACTTGATTAAAAAGTTGGTCGAGACCAAGTGTTGATTCGTCACTGTCTGAGTCACTTTCCGAATCACTAACTACTGTTGAGTCACTACTTTCACTAGGGTTATCTTCTTCTTCTGTTATGGGTTCCGGAGAACTTTGAGGTACTTCGTCTAATGCTATACTAAAATGGTGAATCCCTCTAGCTGCTAAAAAGTAATCCTGGACTATTGTATTTAAACTTCTTGGGTATACTCTATATCTAATACTAATTAATAATATTCTGACAAGGTGTATTAGTTGAACTGGTCCTTGTTCTAATAATATTTGTTTGAAGGTGGTTACAGTTTCTGAAGTGCACTATATTGCTTGATGTGTTTCTTGTATCCAATCCCAAAAGATTAGTAATTGTGGTGAGAAATCCCGATTGATAGGTTGACAAATGGAACAAGATATATCTTTATGTGCTTGTGATATATCCCTTATGTATGGGTATTGTTGATGTACTTGGTTATGGATCCTTGAGTTTTCCTGGATGATTTGGATTGTTTCTTCGCTTGGGTCTATGTTCATTCCATTAATCCTCGTAAGGATCAAAATCATATGGTGGTTCGTCAGGTATATCTTCGAAAAGAACTTCTGGTTGTTCAAAAACTCTCTCCTGCTTAATTAATCTTGGACAGTCTTCTTCCCAATGTCCTTTATTTTTACAGACTTTGCACAAAGGATTTTGTTGGAAGACGAATTCAATTTCTTCTTCTTCAACCAATCCTTGTAACTGACAGTTCTTCTTTATGTGTTCTTTTTGTCTACAGGAATAGCACTTTTTATTTATATACGAAACTTTGGTTGATCCCAAAGGTTGATAATGTAGTTTGAACAGTTCTGGATTTTTGTAGAAAAACAGGAGACCGTTCTGGGAACACAAAAATTAACAGGAGGGAGCACAAAATTTTAACCCATGCTATTTGTTGATTGACCAATTAAAATCGCGAATTTGATAAACGTAGAAATAAATATGG